CAAAAGACACCCTGAGAGGCTGAGAGGCACTTTGAGAGGCTGTCACACAGAAACGAGAGAGTGAAACAAACTGAGAGCCATGGAGAACTAGCCATAAGATGTAAAGAGACCATGAGAGCCAATGAGCCAATGAAACCATGACAGATTCATGAAAACCATGGAGAAATGAACAGTCAGGGTGTCAGAGTTCATGTTCGCCACTCGCCGTCAAAGATTCTTATGTGAAGAGGGTCAACCAAATAGATGGCAGCAGTTTCACCGGCCTATCTCTGTTTGCGTTTGTTCAGTCATGAGAGGACTTCACATATACTCATCATGAACCAGCCACAAGTTCATTGTGCCATTGTGGTAGGCTCACATTGGCCTGTCAATTCGCTCAGCAGCAAATCAACCTGTATCGAAGAGTCCTTTCTGGGTTTCTTCTATGTAACCATGGTTTTGTTTTATATTGGCCCCGCTAGTGGTCAATATCCAGCCTGTAGACAGCCATGATGGATGATTGGCAACCCCCAAGAAAGAAACGCCGCGGCGGCCATCAGCAAAGATTACAACAACATGCTGCCGAGAAGGAGGCGCCAGCAAGCTGCGAGAGCTCTGCTTTGTGTTTGCTGCTGTTGAACTTGTTTGCGTGGGGGTTCTTTTCGCCACAAAGAGTTCAGCAGATCGCTGAAATGGCTGTGAAGGACATCGAACGATCCAAGGAAGACCCACAAGTTTTGAAAGACCTCTACACCCTGTCCAATCTGGGGACCAAAGGAAAACACGCGAACAACATCCACGCCGAGCTCATGAGCAAAGTTGAGCATGTTCCAAAAATCCCCAAGCCTTTCAAAGCAAAAGTGCCACTGAAAGGGTTCCTGACTCAGTTCAATCGATGCTGTTGCCACATGAAATGTTTGCTTGTCTATACCGCAACTACAAGAAGGTCTGGTCCACTGCAGTTGTGCCAAGCGTTGAGCGGGTGCAAAAGTTTTGGAGAGCCATGCGGCTTCATCCCCAGATGCGTGATCACCCCATGACTTCCTCCCCTCAATGGGAGAGTTGGACTGTGCCTATTGCCGTGCACGGTGACGGAGTTCCAGTCACTGGTGTGGGGAAAGTGTGGAGTCGAGTGATGACCAATTACTCATGGTATTCCCTTCTGGGATATGGTACCACTCCATCAATGCTCATGTGGGTGTGGGGGTTCTTTGACAAGCTGAAGGTGGGCGACCAAGCATCAGGCACACTGCTGGAGTTCTACTCCATATTGAGATAAAGCTTTTTGGCGTTATCGGAAGGCAGGTGGCCTTCGAGGAATCACAGAGGAGAGAAGCAACTTGAAGTTTTGCAGACATGTCTTGCTGTTAAATGTACATGCAACAAACCAGCAGGAATATGAATACATATGCAATTGAGAGAGGTCATCCATTTATAAAAGAATATAACATGGAACGTGAGAACCTGGAACATGAGAACCTGGAACATGATAACCATGAACATTGAAGCTGAACTGTTTTACCCTAGTTCCTCTCATGGTGTCACCTCTCAGGGGTACAAAAAGTTCCTCTCATGGTGTAACCTCTTCAGCGTTTCAGGTGTGGTCTGAAAAATTTCGGCTGTGTAAGGTACAAAGAAGGCTCTGTGGAAGCCTTGAGAGCCGGGTCTTGGCTGGCTGGTGGCTGGAAGGGTGCCCTATGGGCACTCACAGGAGACCTTGACTACTTCAACGCCATGCTTGGCACCCCCAACTATTCCGCAGTGGGTGGCCCACGTATGCATTGCAAATGCACTGGGACTGGCGCTGCAACATGGACAGATTTTCGACCACAGGCTATGTGGAGGAACACCCGCTGGGAGGCCGACGTTTGGAGAAATTGGGACGAACGTTCGAAGTGCATTTTGCTGACTCTTCCTGGGGCGAGTTGCTGGTCAATAGCCTATGACTGGGTTCACGTAAAGTACTTGGGCGTAGATCAGTACATCTTTGGCTCAGTGATGGCCCTCTTGGTTTCTATGGTCACGCCAAATGACGCGAACCAGAACTTGCAGAACTGCTGGGATTGTTTGAAAACCTTTTTCAAAAACCACGCCACGCCCACACCATTCAGATTTTTGTCGAAATTGTCAATGTTCATCCGCGCAGGAAAGTACCCCAAATTGAGGGGGAAGGCCTCAGAGATAAGGCACTTCGGCCCAGCTTTGTTGGCCCTATGGTCTCGCCATCAGAACCCTCACCTCGTGCTGCGCCAGCGCATCACCCTCATGCTGAAACAAAATGTACACCTGGAGGAAATGATTACTTTCCACAAGGACGACTTCGCCCTACCACCTGGACCAGCGCAAGAGTTTGAAGAAACCGCCAACAGCATGCTCTTACTTCTTTCCCAGGTAGCTGATCACTTCGTTGAGGAAGGCATGAAATGCTTCGATATCACAAGCAAATGCCACATGCTTCAAGAGCTTGCTATTTTGAGTCGCTCCATAAACCCCAAAGTCACATGGTGCTTCATGGGTGAGGATCAAATGCAGCGCATGCAGCAGGTCGCTAAAGCGTGCGTTCGTGGCAACAAGCTTGATAAACAAACCACAAAGCTGGCCCGCCGCTACCGCTTAGGGTTGCGCCTGCACTATCTCGACTTGGCTGCGTAAAAAGAATTGTGAGCTTGTGCGCACTTTGCTGGGACACGTGAGCTGCAGGTTTTACTTCTCTGAGTATATATATGTGGTTTGTTCATGCGTCGAGTTTGCTTCACGTAGAGCTGTGAGAGGCATCCGTGAGACACCTTCAGAGACATCCATATGATAGACACATCTAACCTGTCTTAAATATGTCTGCATCCATGAGGTCTGACACTATATACCCTGAAAGTCTCTCACAGTCTTTCATTTACCACATATCACAGTCTTTCATTTACCACCTACCACAGTCTTTGTTTCTGATTTTTGCCAAGGTCTCTCACTCTCAAAGTCTCTCATCGATTTCCCCCACAGATTTTGCCAAGGTCTCTCACTCTCAAAGTCTCTCATGGATTTCCCCCCGCAGTTCTCTCATGGCAGACTTGTTGCGAACACTTCAACAAATCGACTTTGAGAAAAATCATGTTGGTCTCTTACTACTGAAAGACCTGTCGTAGTTTTGAAAGAACCCTTTAAACAAGACTTGTTGAAAGAATATCACTTTTACTGGCTTTATTCTTATGAGCAGGTTTTTGGAGACACATATCCATGAGATACCTTGTGAGAGACTTGAAAGCAAGCATGAAAGATGAAGTCTTCAGCCCCTGAAAAGATCTATGAATAAATACCTTGATTCAGAGAGTTTTTGTTGGCTATGAACAAGACCGACCGGGAATTGCTGAAATGTGCTCTTTAGAAGCCGACCCCATTGCCAGAGATGGCAAAAGTCTCCATTGAGAGATTTCAAAGCAAGCATGAAAGATGAAGTCTCGAGCCCCTGCAAAGACTCCACCTCTGGTGAACAACTGTTCATGAGAGAGTGGTGCCATGAGAGACCATGACAGAGGTGCCATCAGAGGTTTGCACACTGTGGGTATTCTCTCATGGCCATGTTTTGGATGTATACCAATTGTATTTCCGTCGGTTTGTATACAGTAAGAAACGTGTATATAAACACAAAAAAGCTTAAAAAACAAGGGTCGTACTTTGGTAGTAGTTTGGTAGTAGTTTACCACCAGAAAAATCTAACTAATAGTCAGAAATCTAACTATTAGACAAATTTTGTTTTTAACTATTAGTTAGATTTTTTCGCTCGAAAACTGATCACAAAAATCTAGCTAATAGTTAAATTCGCAAAAACGATAAACTAACTATTTAGACAATTTTGCTTCCAAAAAAGTTAACTATTTCAAGCCAAAAATCGATCTATTTTCCACACCCCAAACATAGATCTATTTTTAAGAAATCAATTGATTTCCAAGAAATAGACAATAGTCCAAAAACAAGCTAACTCAATCTATTGGGTGGCGGCCAGCCTAGCGCTGGCTCTCCGGTACCTCTCAAAATTGCAGTAGTGCATAAAGAGAACCCAGCGGGTAGGGCCATTACCAAGCTACTTACTGCTTTTGAACTTAAACCGGATCACCAGAGATATTTCGTTCGGCCGGTTAGCAGAGAGGAGGCAGAAGCCAACACTGCCTGCACAAGCTACGACCTGCGTGCCAGCGAAGCTGCCCCTTACATCCCAGGCTGCAAAGTTGTCATCGTTACCACGGGGCTAGTCTGGGACCAAACAGGGCAGACCCACTCCACGCTCAACACACATATGGAAAATGTTGATCTGCTCATCAGTGAAGAGGCACAGCAGGACATGGACTTGAAATCTGCTTTCGCGCCAGCGGTCCCACGCCGTGCCTTCTTTCGGCTATTACTGGGGGACCCTAGACAGAGTCCTGGTGGAGTGGCAGACGGACAGAGAGCACACCGCACTCTCCTTCTCAAAGCCCCCATTGGACTACGAGCTCCCAACATCTGGTATATGCCACACGAGTTCTCAGGGGTCTTTCAGGCGCTCCTCCACCACGGTCGAGGCTTCGGACACACTGAACTTGAAGAAGCAGCAATAGCCGTCAGCCGTAGGCCTTTGGGTAGTTGCTGGTTCCGCCCGGATAAAGTCAAGGCTGAGTCCCCCTTCGCCAGTCAGCTGCAATCCACTTACAGTGATCTCTCTAGTGTTGACCTGGACTTGCCGGTAGGGCTCCTGGTCGGTCTCGGATATGCGGCCACCTGCCCTGACAGCCCGCTAGACTTTCGACAAGCGCAAAGTGCAGCAGAGAGGTCGGGCGTGGCCAGTCCGCACTGCTGGAGCCTAATGTTGCCGACAAGTGCCAGAGTTGCCCAAGAAGTCTATGAGCCACTCATAGGAATTCAATACCCTATGCTTTGCAGCCGGTTAGGCGACACCTGGCAAATAGGCGCCACATCCATCCGAGAAGATCACTTGATTGCGTCTGGGCTACGTTTCGTCCAGTGGCGCCATGCCTCGCCCAATATAGATGCTAGGAAGGAGCCCAAGAACAACCCCACGGTAAAGGTCTACCAGCTCCTTGAAGATGAGTTAGCAAGAGCTAGAGCGGAAGGCATTTTGGCACTCACAACCACACGAGAAGCAGCCCAAAACCTGCGTAATTACTTTGAAATTGCCTGGAAGACGGCTAACGCGGAAACGGCAGTCAAAGTAGCAGGCGCCACAGCCCAACACTGCATTGTCATACACGGTGAGTCTACTTTCCTTAGCGGGGAAGGGCGCAATTTGGATTATGATCAGGAATGCTTCACCAGGGCAAATGTGGCATACAGCAGGGCCACCAACCTCACCATCCTTGCCTGCCCTTTGAACATGCAAGGAATGCCGGGGGCCTTGCAAGTACTAGCTGCTCTCCTGCATGGCGTTCAAAGCATTGACACCCATGATGACAAGGAGCCCGTGATTCGTGGCTCCCTAGATCTCACGCCGATCCAAGTAGAAGAAGCCACTGCTGCCTTCCATCGGGCTCTTATGCCCCATCAAGTATGGTCTGGCCCCCTGCCGGTATGTCTAGCAGAGCATCATCAAGGTAAGGTGAGGCGCTTACGCCTCATCTTAGCCACACTGTCGCATTTGACAAAGGCTGAAATTTCCAGCCTGCAATATGGGCCACATCTTCCGGGAGGCACGACAGAGCACGGGCTTGTCTATGGCTATGAGACGCCTACGCCGGAATGGCTTGTCATCACAGACGGACAAGAACCCGGACATTGGAGGCTACTCCATAATAGCACTGGCCGTGGACAGCGGTGCAGTGTAGGAAATTCCCAACGATATCAACCATCCATGAATGCTGTGGAGCAGCGTACAGCGCAGGATTACACCTTTGAAGCCTTGCATCGTATTTACTTTTATGATGCGTGGAGAACACAGCCGGTCCTCGGCGCCCCAGAGTCTGACCTAGTCCTGCCGCCGCATCCTGGCCTCTTGACACAAGGCTGTTACTGGCCGCCGCGGAATGCAGAGGAGGAGGTACTCTCCGTCTCAGACATTGCCGCCGAGACAGATGGCCAAGCCTGCCAAACGCCGACCTCGCCTGAGGCAGCCGATGCCGTCATGACAGATGAGGAGGCAAACGACCTTATCTCGGTCCTCAGCTCCTCTACAGTGCTGTCCACCCTGCCGAGCACGGTCCACCAAGAAGAGGCTGACTCCCCCATGGGAGACAAAGAAGTGGAAGCCAATCCATTGGAGGAAGCGGGTGACTGCCTTAGCAATCGTCCCAGTCAATAATGAGATGCTGGAGGAAAATGGAGAGGATTGTAGAGCGATCCCACCGCAAGGAGTTGATCCCCAGGATGAGAGCTCCCCGGCACATTCCTCGGAGTCGCCGATTAAGCGAAGACCAGGGCCAAAAGCAAGTGCAGGCAGGGGTCAATCCAAGAAGCTTCGGCAATCAGCAGACCAGGCCTCCCAGCTGCCATTAGGCAGCATCCCAGAGCATGGTCAACAGACGGCCACGCTTGAGGACCTTGCTGACCCGGCTGACCAAATGCAAGAGTCCCCAGTCAGTAAGGACCCAGCTTCGCCATCCGAACAGCCAGAAAAGGCACAGGAACACCCTCAAGCCACGACAGAAATTGACCTGGACAATGACCAAAAGAATGTAGAAAGAGGAAACACTGCTGCCATTGATATACAGTTAGAAGCAGAGCAGAGAGCCATGCAGGCGCTACATGCACTCCAGTTAGCCTTCGGTACAGCTGCTGATGCTGACGCGAAAGGAACAACACTACCCTCGCTACAGCTGTACAGCGACCTCCCGCGTGAATGGCCCATGGCAAGGTTGTGCATCTCCAACAAGCAAGTTAACCGATTAGTCCGGACATTCCTCTGGCGGAGGGTGGCAGAAAGCGCACTCCATGGCACTCCCTTTGGGAATATCCCAGAAGAAATCAACCGTGACTACATCGCGGACTTGCGCCGCATCAGTGAGGCATTTGCTGCACCCCTGGCAAACCTGTTTGCATTTGCCAAGCAAGGACACAAAATGTGCTCCTTCATACCCCACAAGCAGCTAACGCTCTATGCGAACCCCCTCTTCTGGCAGTACGGCCTCTTCGCCTTTGTCTCCAGGTGCTGTGCCCATAATAATCAACACAGGCGTCAAATTGCAAGCGCAGCAAAAGCAGCCCTGACCAAGCAGGAAAAGTCTAGTGAAAAGGATGTGGATGCGCTCACCTTTATGCAGACAGTCGTCATGTCGTTTGTGCGAGGAATGGAGTATGGAGACCAAACGCTGCCCATCAATGATCTTTTTGTCTACTTTCCGGTGCAGTTGGTTCCATCCCTCGTCACAGCCATGGAGCAGCATTGTTTTGCTTCGGTGGAAGTAGAGGGTGGCTGCGGCTACCGACCCCGTAAGCAAGGGGAGGAAGATAATCCCCTCCTGGTGGTAGGGGTGTATTACAAGGAAATCATATATGACCGCTACCCCCGCATGCCGGACACGTCCTGGGCGGCGAGGGCATATACCTCTGGTGCCATTGACCCGTCGCTGGGGCAAGCTATGTCCTTCCCATCCCTCCTGCAATTGAAGTTGCGCATTGAAGTCCCGCTGTGGAGAAATGTTGTAGAGGCTAAACGCCCCCCAACAGACTCCCAG